TCATACGGCAGCTGTTCCATACCCCTAATCATTTTTCCAAGTCAATACATCTTTTTTGAGATGGGGTGACCACATCTGCTGCCAGTATTCAAGATGTGGTCGTACCATGGATTTATATAGAGGCAATATGATATTTTCTGTCTTATTATCTATCCCTTTCTTAATGATTCCCAACATTCTGTTCACTTTTTTGACTGCTGCTGTACATTGAGTGGATGTTTTCAGAAAACTATCCACAATGATTCCAAGATCTTTCTTGAGTGGTAACAGCTAATTTAGACCATTTTATATGTATAGTTGGAATTATGTTTTCCAATGTGCATTTATGAATATTGAATTTCATCTGCCATTTTGTTGCCCAGTCACCCAATTTTGAGAGATCCTTTTGTAGCTCTTTGCAGTCTGCCTGGGTCTTCACTATATTGAGTAGTTTTGTATCATCTGCAAGTTTTGCCACCTCACTCTTTACACCCTGTTCCAGATTATTTATGAATATGTTAAATAGGACTGGGCCCAGTACAGACCCCTGGGGAACACCACTATTTACCTCTCTCCATTTCTGGAAAGTCTATTCTTAAATATGCAAAGGCATTAGGTCACCATGCAGACTAACAGCCTGTAGCATGGTATAGATTCCCAGGCCAGAAGGGACCATTGTGATCAAGTATTTTGTAAATCAGAGTAACTTTAGATTTATAGGAGTGAAAAAACATCTAAACCCACTAAAATAATAGGTTTTTACCTGCCTATTAATAAATCTCCATTAGGGTTAAAAAAAATTAAGCTAAGCCTTTGTATGCTAAATTTCCTCATAGAAAGAGCAAGTGCTTACTGCCAAGCTATACAGCTCTGTAGTTAGGAGTCTGTAAAGGAAAAGACTGGCAAAAAAGTAGCTCTATTAGTGATAGTGGGAACTGCCACTTTACCTGAGACTACTTTAAAGGCTTATTATATTGATGAGAAAGCTCCTCTATACTATCACTTCCAACACTGACCGCATTAGTCTGGATAAAATGGGATTTGTGTATTTTTCGATACGCTGACAGCAAAACCCTAATAGGCAAACATCATTAAACATGATTTCTAAGCTTATAAAGCAAAATAATTAGTGCAAGCTAATATTTATTCTTTCATACTTGGCACATTCTGTGCACATGCAGTCTGGGGATAATTTGTGAGTTAGAGAATTGTCCTCATGTATTTGAGATCAGAATCATATCCCTACGCAGTACCCAAGGTAGGGCTCATATAAAGCAGTAGAGTGGGCCCACTGCAGTGTTAAGATTGGAAAAAAAGGTACAGAAAGAATAAAAAACCAAATGTCAAAAGGGATGGGATTTTAATAGCTTTGCTGTTTCAATTTAGTCTGAATAGAGAGGACAGTTCCAGCACTGCATGATCAACAGGAAGTCTTAGAGGAGACAAACTGTACACAATATGTCCGCGGTCTCTTCATACACAATACATTTACATGCACGGGGCCCCCTTCTTGAGTCTGCTCAAGCAGGTGGACACCCAGTAGATCAGTCCCCTCATATTTCCCATCTGTACATAGAATCCCTGGGTGGCGTACAGCTGCTGTAGTGACTCTGTACCCTCCCCATATGCCTATTCTAGGAGGCATTCCCAGTGATCCCCAGCTGATGGACTAGCCCCTTGAGGCTGTTAAGAGCTGGGTGTTTGGGGCTGTTCTGACTTCTAATAAGGGGACCATAAAGGTGACATAAAACCTATAAGCCCAGTCCTGTCCCAAGCAGAGCTTGGCCAGACCAGAGAATCAGGGCCATATGTGTTATATTATATAAACATACACATGAACAAGGACACAAATTTGAGCCAATTCATTCACCTTGTGATGATTCACAGCATTGTTTTATTCTAAAAAAAAAAATACAGTTTAAAGGAGAGCTGCTTTGATGCAGTCCCGTGTGCACAGCACATAAAACAGAACATTAAATATTTAAATTATTAATTATAAATTTTAAAATAGACTAATACAAACAAAATTCAGAGCAACACTGGAAAATGTAATCCTAGAAAGCACATTGTAGTTAATGCAACTCCTTGTTCCCCTGGACATACTGCTGCAAAGAGTCTGAATCTGCTGATTCCAGTTGAGTATCAAGATGCACAGCAAAATAAACACCACTTCTAGGATACAAAGCTCCATGTTCACATTTTTTTCTTTTTACCTTTTGCAACAGAAAACAAAAGCCAACATAGTATATTGTTTGCTTCCGCAAAGCATGTGAGGTGATGAAATTCACTTGAAAAACAAATTAACAAAAGCACTGTAAATAACAACCCTGGCCAACTTGTGACCATCAAAAGCCAACATGGATAAGAAAGGGAATAAAAAAAAGTCTTAAGTCCAGTATTACAAATCTTGCCTATTTTCTTTTGAAATCAGGAAATGCAAAAGATTTGTTTTACTAAGACTTTTCTGGTGAAGTTTTCTTTCTCCACACCTGGTGTGACGTTATTGACATAATCTGGGACCATATAGAACATGGTTGCAACCAAAGTCCTGTAGTGGCACCAAATCTTGTATAAAGGGGGTCAAATAAGGTGTCTAAGACAAGGTTATGGTTTGCTGGTTATAATTATGCTGTCTATATGTGTGTATCACTTTTGTAGTTGAAGTTATGAATATTGGCTCTATACTGTCTGTATTTCAAACTTATGATATGCTTCGGGGAAACATCCCAGACAAGTTGGTGTTAGCTTTGCCTAGCCTGCTTGATGGCCCATTAAGGACCATCAGCTATACAACTGACCCATTGAGAGAAGGCAAATACGCCTTGCAACTCAGCAAAGTATGCAGGGACTGGCCCATGTGACTCCAGACTCCATTTTGCTGTAATTTTCCACAGTAAGAACAAAGAGGTGTTCTTACACCTGGAAAAGACTATAAAAGGCTGATGCCTGATCTCCATCTGGTCTTCAATCCTGCTTCTTACCTCTGGAGGGACTTTGCTATGAATGGAAGCTCTACACAAAGGACTGAATGACCCATCCCAGCTGGGGATGTATTCCAGAGACTTGATTTTGAACCTGCAGTTTATGCTATTACTGCTACAAGCCTGAACCAAGAACTTTGCAATTACTGCATGTAATTGATTCAATTTAACCAATTCTAGCTCTCATCTATATCTTTTTCCTTTTATGAATGAACCTTTAGATTTTAGATTCTAAAGGATTGGCAACAGTATGATTTGTGGGTAAGATCTGATTTGTATATTGACCTGGGTCTGGGGCTTGGTCCTTTGGGATCGAGAGAACCTTTTTTCTTTTATTGGGGTATTGGTTTTCATAACCATTTGTCCCCATAACGAGTGGCACTGGTGGTGATACTGGGAAACTGGAGTGTCTAAGGGAATTGCTTGTGTGACTTGTGGTTAGCCAGTGGGGTGAGACCAAAGTCCTCTTAGTCTGGCTGGTTGGGTTTGCCTTAGAGGTGGAAAAACCCCAGCCTAGGGCTGTAACTGCCCTGTTTTAAGCGATTTGACCTTAATTGGCACTCTCAGTTGGGTCCGCCAGAACCGCATCGTTACACCTGGAAAACCCAGATAGCAGAGTATGGTTGATTTTGTCTCAATAGCACAGTATTCTTTATTATTATTATTATTTATTAATATTATTTAAATACCTTGTAAGACTTAGGTGGATCCTTTATGGGAGAGTGCTGTGAGCCCAGGCATAATAGAAGGTTTGGCCCTTTAAAAGCAGGGAACCTGGAGAGTACATTTCCCAGGGAGGAACTGTTGAGTGTCACATGTCTATGGGAGTGTGTGTCAGGTGACAAGCCAAGACTATATAAGGAGGGCAGTGGATGAAGATATGCTTTAGGGTTGATCTCTCCAGAGTAGCAGGCCTGTGCAAACAAACTGAGCAAGGCTGGTGGAATAGACCCAGGAAAAGGCCTGGGGGAACAAGAATGATAGTCCATTTAGCCTCTCCTGGGCTCAATAATCCACTAGTCTGGTTGGCACAGTTATAAAAAGGGGGACATCCTGCCACCCTAACTGTGAGTTTCAACTGACTTTATCACCCCCCCTCCACTATCTTGTCCAAGCGACTTCCTTCTGGCAATAACCCTCCTTGAGTCTTTCTGTGTGCTGTCTTAGGTCTGTCCCAGGTCTTTTCCTGGCTCTATTCCGCCAGCCATCTTCAGCTTGTTTTCTCAAGCCTGGTACTATGGAGAGGCCAAACATAGGGCATACCTCCTCTCTCAGCCACAGGCTCCTACTCGTATAGTCTTGGCCAGACATCTGACCTCCTCATTCACATGAGACCTAACAATCCCTTTTGGAGACTGCAGTTCCCAGAGTTCTCTGCCAAACCTCGATATATTAGGGCTCGTGACATCTGCTCTTAAAGGGGCTGTCACTGTTCCATACCTTATTCAACATCAGATGAGAGTGGGAGAGTTCACAAGATTTCTCAGAATCAGGAGATGTGTTCATCAGTGACAGCTCTTTCTCCTTCACTTAGTACAGAATTTTTTCTAAGTCTGGTATTTGGCACCATGTCTCCCCAACCTTCAATTCCTTTGAGATGGGCTTCAGTGCAGCTGATGATCAGTAGATGTATACTGCTGACTGGTTGAGCCAATTCACCGTGATGCAGATGCTGGCACAGATGAAAACTTTTAAACCAAACTGCTTGCTTTCACTGTGAAAAGTGCTTTTAAAAAAGTGATCTCAGAACATCTTAAGGATTCAAAAATAGTACTTGGGGTTGGGAGGGAATCTTATTTTATTTCGCTTTAAGTCAATAAGGAAATAGGGCAATTGGCACGTCTTGGAGAAGTTGCTGATTCAGGATCCTGGCCCAAATGTAAAAAATAAAACAGCAAAGGGTAACTTTGCCTTATGCTGGACTTCTGCTGATTCTGGTGACTTCATGTGCACGTTGTCCAAAGTTCTGTTATCTGAGTAATAAAGATGAACCTCTTGAATAACAAACTGTGGGTTTCAGTGAGGCATTTTTGGGGTCTGCTATAACCTTGTTGAGGTAAGTCTTTTCATGCCCCTCCTCTGAGCCAGATTGGAGGACAATACAGGCTCCAGCCTTGGTGCCTGAGGTGTTCTGTTTAAAGCAAAGTATGTGGCTGCCATTGCGCCCTGCAAAATGAAAGAGAAAATACTTGGCTTAAAATAAGTTCTTTCATTACTACCCTCCCTTTCCTAGATCCTCCCACCAAGAGAAAGGAGAATCTCCAGTAGCTGTTAGTAGTATAGGCCCTGGCACACAGCTGAGTGGTTCCAATTCCACCCCACAAGGGGTACTGGTGTGTACACACACACACACTTGAGCTAGTTCATTACAACACAGAAGAAAGTTATAATAACTAGGAGATGATGTGTGTAAAATAGTATTACATTTAATGTAATACCGTATTTATCTTGGGCTCATTTGAAAATAACCCCCTTATTTCCTGTATCTCCAAGTTGTTAATGCAAATCCTATCTTTTCACTGTTACTCAGGAAGTTACATTTCTCAGGAAAAAGATGCTGTGTACCTTCACCAGGTGAACATCCTGTCTGCTGAGTTGATTTTGAGATAGATATTCCCTGTTCACTATCCATGGGTGTCTTAGCACTTGGACTGCTGTTAGGCGCTGATGAGGATCTACATGAAGCATCTTGGACACAATATCCTGTGGTTGAAGGAGAAAGAAAGGGGGTGGGGGAGAAATGTAAAAACCATCAATTGAGGTTTTCAGAGTCTGACTGGAAATATTTTTACTTAGATTTTCCCCTTACTCATGGTAGTTTCATCAGCAGTATTTAAAGGGACAGTGCAATGCAGCCAAGCCTTTATAATCCCTTGTAATTTTCAGAAGTAAAACCAAATTTCATACTGACATTTAAGCACTTAAGAGACCATCTGAACATATTAATATGAAACTGGACACCCTATTAAATCATCATTATTTGACAATTGGCCTGCGCAGGTGAGATGAACTAGTTACTTCTCTAACAATGAGAAAACAAAACTAACCAAAACCAACACACAAATGAGGGGAAAAAATAGTTTCCTACAGGAATATTAAAGTATCAGGAGGTCGCCGTGTTAGTCTTTATCCACAAAAACAACAAGGAGTCTGGTGGTACCTTAAAGACTAACAGATTTATTTGAAGAAGTGAGTTTTTTTTATCCATGAAATCTTATGCCCAAATAAATCTGTTTTACCTCTGTTCATGGCATTGGTAAGACCTATCCTGGAATACTGTGCACAGTGCTGGGTCCATGTTTTAAAAAAGGTTCTTGAAAAACTGAAGAGGGTGCAGAAAGAAGAGCCCTAAAAATGATTTGAGGGCTGGAGAAAATTTCTTACAGTGAGACAGTGTGCAATTTGTCCAGTTTATCAAGAGACGATTGAAAGGTCACTTGATTACAATATTTAAGTACCTCCACGGAGAGAAAATACCAGGTACTAAAGGGCTCTTTACTTTAGTGGAGAGAGGTATAAGGACCACCAATGACTAGAAGCATAAACCAGAAAAATTCAAATTGGAAATAAGGCACACATTTTTAACAATTGGAACAAACTACCAAGAGAAGTGGTGGGTTCTCCATCTCTTAACATCTTCAAATCAAGGCTAGAAGATAAGGTTTAGTCAAGCACAAGTTATTCGGCTCAATACAGAGGTAACTGGGTGAAATTCTATGGTCACTAATATGCAGGAGGCCAGATTAGATGATCTAATGGTCTCTTCTGGCCTTAAACTCTAAAGAAAACAAGAGAAATGAAGATAGTCTTGTGGTTAGAATTTAGGAGATATTTGTTCTAATTCCAGCTCTTCCACAGACTTCTTTTGTGACTTTGGGCAAGTCACTTTGGCTAAAATGTATAGAAGTGACCAATACTTGGAGGTATAGGTGTCCATTTGAGATACACCTTGGGCCTGGCTGAGTGCCCACTACTTCAGATGAAGTCAAGAAGAGCTGTGGGTGCTCAGCACCTCTGAAAACCAGGCTCAAGGTATCACAAATTTGGGTACCCAAAATTAGTGGCCATTACTGAAAATTTTGGCCATAATCACTTTGTGCTGCACTTTTCTCATTTGTAAAATCAGGACAAGGATATTTACCTTCCTCTCAAGTGACTGTGAGAGAGAAATCAATGTTTGTAAAGTCAACTGAGATACTTGAATGAAAAGTGCTATGCAAAAGCAAAGTATTAGTAATAATACAAAACTATAATAACAAACATACCTAAGTGCATGTTAAAAATACTAATTTATGGGTTGCCTTTTAAAGGGTTTACCTTCAGGGGTCACACAGTGATCCACAATTAAACTGGACATTTGCAGTTTTGGGCTGCCCTATATATTTTGAAGAGTTCAACCAAATTGAAAAGGATTTTTTGTTGGACTTGGATATTAAATTTCATTTATTTGTGTTATGATGCTGCATTATGGCTTACATTCCTGAAATAGGATACAGAAATGCATAATGTAATAAGTCACACACAACCATTTTTACATAGTTCTCATTAAAATAGAATTTATGGAACTAATACAGCTGCTGATTTCACCTCCTCTTGCTTAAAAGAATGACTCCTTTTTAGAAAGCAGGATAAAAACATGAAGAATCTACTGACCTTGGCAGCATCGGACACTGAATCCCAGTTTCCTCCTGCAAGTGCATATTTTCCGCTGCCAATCCTGGCCAGTATCTCTTCTGGGGTGTCATCTGGTCCATTTGCAAAAGGGGTGAATCTGTGAAACAAACAGGTTTACTGTAAAAAGATGCATCTTTATGTACTGCAGATTTTTAGGTGTACAATTATAGGGCCTGATTCTGCAGCCTTAGCTCCCATTGATATCATTAGGCATTTAATCTAAGTAAAGACTGCAGAAACAAGCCCTTAATTTTTATTCAGCAATGGTGAGAGTTTCTCATGGACAAATGCTTTACCATCCCCTTGAAATTGTCCTGTGAAGAAAAAAGAAATGCACCTTTGTTTCCCTCCTGTTTCTTTGATTTTTTTTTTTTTTTTTAATAAAGTGTATGGGATTTTTCTCCCTTTTTTTCCCCCCCCTAAACTTTAAAAATTCAGGTCTAGTCTATCTTAGAGCCAGGGTGATTGGCCAAGTAGTGGAATTATGACATAAAAGGCAGGAGGTAAAAGCTCTGATATTTCTGAGATGAAGAAAGCAGGAAAACAGGCACCTTTTAAAAACAACATTAAAAAGCCCACCTTTCAGGTCCTCTTTAGCCGTCATAATAAAGATTGCTGAAACAAATCACCTATGATAGGGTTATGGAAAAGCCTGTCTCCCCACCCCTGAGCTATCTCCTCTTTGGAGTACAAGAGGTGCCCAGCTCTCAACAGGCTTCTCACCTGTTGAACTGTTATATGGCTGGCAGCCTTGAGGAATCCTGGACCTCCTTAAAAGATGCCAGGGAAAAGCGGTAGTCATGGTCTCAAACCATGTTACAGCAGGTCCTACAAAGGTACGAGCATCTTGAACAGGTGGGACAATTTATGAAGGAGAACCTCCTACACGCCCATCAGGCTCAAAACTACAACAAAGGCACCTGGGAGAGGGTTTTTCAGCTGGGGAGACTGCATGCTATTGCTCCTCCCCAGCTCCGAGGGCAAGCTCCTGCCCAATGGCAAGGTCCATATGAGGCTGTCTGATGAGTATTCCGATTTTCTTTTAAGGATTACATTTTTAAAAAGCAGTTACGGTAATTAATCTAACGGATAAGATAAACCGATCACAGATAATGTGTAGTCCTTAAAGTCCTTATCTCTTCTTGCCATATACTGCTGTAAATCTGTGGTATTAGCTAAACAGAGACTACCTTTTACAGAGACCACAGTGAAGTAAGGGATTGTAAGACATTGCTTTAGTTCAGAGCAGAAACGGACTTGATTTGCAGTGCAGGCCAGACAGGCTTTGCACGTTATTCCTGAAGCGTCTAACATATCTAACACAGTTTCTGAACAATTCTAATTACCACTAAATAGTTAGTATTGGAAGTGCTGGCATCTTTTTTTGTAATGGATGAGGCAAAAGATGCGAGTGACAGAGAGATGGACTCAGAGTATGTGTTTTTCATACAAATCTGAGGAAGGAATTCAAGTTCTTCTCCACTACTGAACTAGAAAGTATCTGGTCTATGTGTTTTAAAGGACATAGCAAAAATGCAACCAGTGATTAGATATGACAAATGTGCTTGTACTCTACGCTGTGGCCAGCCAGCCATTCCTCTACTTGAGCAATAAGAAACTTGACATTTTTAGTTTGCAAGGGGTTTGACAATTTTTGTTTCTGGTTTGTGTTCTATGAATTTCACACCGACTTTCAGATTCAAACCAGTTCTTCTTCATTCTCAGCCCTCTCTACCCCTTTCAATTTACCTCCATCCTCTGAACCATCTTATGTCTGTCTTTAACCTTAGCCACCACATCTATACCTCCTTTCCCTTTCTAGTTCCCTCCATCCAGCTCCCCCAGCACTCACTCCTTTTGATAGTTTGTCCCTTTCTACAATCTTACTGCTGGTAGGAGAGCCTTCTCCTTTGTAACTCTTGCCATCAGAAGCAAACTTCCTATTCTGTCTGCATCTTGGAGCCTCCATCTATTTTTCAAATTGCACCTGAAAACACAACTTTTCTCCTTTTCACAGGTGCTCAGATACCACAGTGATGAGCACAGTGCAGGAACCTGAATAGAACACACCTTAAAATTGAAATTAATGAAACTCCTCATATGAATAAGGTGAACAGGATCTGGCTCTTTAATAGACTATTCCTACATTATACACTTAAGCACTTTTGGAAATTTTATCCTAAGTGATGTAGGAATTTAGTAGCTTAAGTCTCACTGAGAATCTATGGGACATAGGCTAAGTGCCTAAATCAGTTCTGAAAGTGCTAGACTTTTCAGTTCTGAAAGTGCCATTTTTTTTTGTCTGCTGCAATTGGTTTAATCTCTCAAAATACATTGCATTTGTATTTATCTATGACTTGTTTATGTCCTTAATCAGTTTTGAACTACCTGCACCAGAAATCTTGCACTTACCCTGCCAACATGGTGTACAACAGGATCCCTAAGCTCCAGATGTCACAGGCTGCGTCATAACCTTGTCGTTTCAGGACCTACATAAGGAAATCAAAAGAGATAAGGTTAATTCATGCTCCTGAATTCTGAACTTTTGAATTTCAGGAAAATGTGGATGTTATGGCAGTGATTTGTTAATATTTTGCAGAGCTTGCTCTAGAGTACAGGTGGAATAGGGAGTTGCCTAGGGCAGCAAAACAGTCAGTTTCCCACGCAAACAATTACTATCGGATGGAAGGGGGGCACATTTACCATTTTGTTGAAGATAATAGAATCTATTTAGCTGGTCCTAGACACACAACTCTAAAGAAGCCAAATAAGACGGAGGGGCTGGGAAGGGGGGGGGGGGAAAGGTGGATTTTAAAGGCAATGACTACAAGCAACTATTCTCACACACATAGGAAAATATGTAAATACTTTGGACACTGTAATTCAAGTTATAGTTATCCCATGACATGCAAAGTAATCACAGAAGAAAACAATAATGGGACTGACAGACACATTTCTAGATTTACTATTGCAGCAAATGTGAGCTTCTCTACAGAGCTTGGTTAAAATGATTCTGGACATTAGGAAACATTCTCATTTACAGTAAAGACCTTATATGCTGCTCTGTCAGAGTGAAGGGGGCTTACGCCTGGTGTATATTTACGCACAGTTAAGGGATCCCTCTAAGCTGCCAGAACAGTGTAAAAATGGCTGTGGTGTGAACTGGGTTCTAAAGGTTTGACTTTTGAAAAGGTGAGTGTACCAATTCATATGCAGTTACCAGTCCTGTGTGCACAAATCAGGTATTTGTGCATACAAATTGCCAGAATGACACATGACCAATCATTTTCAGATCAATACCCAGTTTGCCCACACACTCACTACCTGTTTGCACATCATGCATTTGTACACGTGACTTTGCATCATTGGCATTTGTACATATGAACATTGGAAAATAAGGGCCTGAAAACTTCTGAAGTTACAGCAAAGCTGTTACGGCATATGGGAAGATAGTAAAGTAACTGAAGAATTTTTGGGGACACGCAGCAATATTCATTTTACATCAATAACCCAGTAACATGTCTACCAGGTGGTGTGTGTAGAAGGAGGAAGGAAATACATGCTACTACCTAGGCTCTCTTGTGGAACGTGATGCATGGGCATTACACTGTATTACATCATGCCATGATACTTATGTGACCTAACACGAAAGTCAGAATCATGTCCTGCTGGAGTTTTGGAGCCTAGGTGCTGGAACTAGAAGTGCGGGGGTGTGTGTGTGTGTGTGTGCTGCACCCCCTGGCTTAAAGTGGTTTCCATGATATACTGGGTTTACAGTCTGGTTCAATGCCTATCAGCACCCCTGCTATAAAAAAATTGTTCCAGCACCACTGTTTTGGAGAGAGTTGATTTTGTTTGGTTGGGTGGTTTGTTCTCATTCTTGTAAAATTCCAGATACACTTGTCTCAGCCTTTGGTATCAGGATTTTCCATAATAAAGGTCTAGAGATCATTAAGGGCCAGATTCTGCCACCTTTACTTACACTCCGTAGTCAATAGGGCTACGCCGGAGGAATGGTGGTATATAATCTGATTCTATGTTTCATATGTGTAAAACGATGTATGGATCTTCTAGGCTTTGCTTTGTAATAGGGAATTGTTACTGGAGTGGTGGTGGTGGGTTTTTTTTGGCTCTGTCTACAATGTTTTTTGTTTTGGCTTTTTAAAAATGTACTATGTAGAATTGTATTGGTTTGGGATTTTTTTTTTTTTGGAAACCAATAAATATTCCTCAAAAGCAAGAAGTAGCAGCTATGTGCTAGCTTACAAAGAAAATTTAATACAGTAAGGTTAATTTAAAGTACAGTTATACCTTGAAAAGTGACTAGGCAAAAATGTCACTGTGGGGTTCTAACTTTCAAGGGATATGTCTACATTAGAAAGAGAGGTCAAGATTAGATCAGGGTTAGCTAACTCCAATTTAAATGAGACCTTGTCTTCAGTGCAGACACAGGTTAACAGTTTTTACTTTACGCTCCCTGAGGGTCCATTCTGACCAGCTAATGCATTTTTAAAGGTGCAGAGCCCTTTCTGCTACAGTGTATAACATATTTGTTAAAATGTGTTAGCTAAGGCATTTTAAAACTTTATCTGTTTTTCTAGTCTAAGACTCCTGGGTTGGAAGTAACAAAGAATGTTGCAGATTCAGCAAGCTCAGATTTGAGGGGGGGAGAGAAAGCACTTTGTCTTTGTCTGGGCTAGGATAAAGATTGTGTTTAGGTCAGGTTTATTCAACCCCCACGCCCCCCAGTGTAGATAAAGAGTAACACTCTACCTCCTAAACTAGAGCTAAAGAAGAAACCCTGCATCTACATTAAGAAAAGTGGTCAAGTTTAGGTTGGGCTTAATGAGCATATGGTAATGTAACCCACACACCTCCTGAGTGTGGTGTTCTGTCCCATCTAGTGGCACTGAGACCACTTAGGCCTGGTCCACACTAACCCCCCACTTCGAACTAAGATATGCAACTTCAGCTACGTTAATAACGTTAATAACGTAGCTGAAGTCGAAGTACCTTAGTTCGAACTTACCGCGGGTCCAGACGCGGCAGGCAGGCTCCCCCGTCAACTCCGCGTACTCCTCTCGCAGAGCAGGAGTACCGGCGTCGACGGCGAGCACTTCTGGGATCGATTTATCACGTCTAGACAAGACGCGATAAATCGATCCCAGAAGATCGATTGCTTACCGCCGGACTCGGAGGTAAGTATAGACATACCCTTAGAGAGAGGGATGAATGAGTCTGTTCTACAATCTTAGCTAACAGCTATAAGGCTTTTGCCTCATGCTGTAGAGGCTCATGCACGAAACTCCAGAGGTCCCAGGTTTGATCCTGTCCACTGACGCCCAGGGTCTGTCGGCATTACATTAACAAAGCCAAACTTGATCATTTCCCCTCATGTAGACAAGTCTTCGAGTGCTCTGAAGAGATCTGCCCAGCTGACTTAATACTGGTGCAGAACCAGAGTGGGAGCTATGTTCAGTCCTTTTGGCCGCATGGACAGCTAGCACAACACAAGGGGCCTGATTCAGATGTCATCTGCAGTGGTGTAAACCAGGAGTAACCCCATTCAAGTCAGTGGAGTTACAATGGTGTAAATCTCTCAGGGTGGGGGCAGAATAGGGGATTCCTGATGTTCTGAGAAGGGCCTTAGAGCATTCTTACTCTCGGAGGGAAAGAATAATTAACTTTTGTATTTGCTTCCCTACTGCTTTAAAGGTGAGCCAGTATTCTGCATACATTTTGAGACTGCAGTTGTTAGAGAAGATCAGTTTTTCCCATGCGATGGGATCACTAGATACAGTGACCTCCCTGCAAAACACTATGAAAGGAAGGAACATTCCGCAACATTTTTTCCCCCTGTCCTGGAGCCCTAGCACCGATTAGTGATCTCACTTCATGGAAGGGTTGTGGTGGATTCTTCAACACTGATAATTTTAAAATCAAGATTGAATGTTTTTCTAAAAGATCTGCTCTAAGAATTGTTGTTGTTGTTGGAGGGGGGTGGAGTTCTACGATCTGTGTTCGACAAGAAGTAAGTTTGGATGATCATAATAGTCCCTTCTGTCCTTGGAATCTATGAAAAAAGTGACTTCAGAAAATCCTGCCTAGGTAAACTTTAGCGAATATAAATGACAAGGCAAAACAATCTCTCCATCTGACAGATGTGCTGAGTGTGCATCTGCTACCTTGGAAAAAGCTACCTTATACAAGACAATCATGACTTGGGGGCAAATAGAGTAGACAAAAAATTCTAAAGCGCTTAAAAGTACAGTATATCTGTGTTCAGTACTGACTGTGCTGGCTGGCTACTGCATCATGACAATTTTAACATCTAGTAAAATAAGAACAGGTATTGGGGTGTGTTTTAGCTTCCAAAATAACTTTAATAGTCCATGTCACTGATTTTTACAGCTGCGTGAGATAAAATGGAGAGGTTCCAAAGTACCTCAAATAATGTATCCACTTTGGAGGCCAAAGACCTGGTATTTAGGCAGAAAATCTGCACACTTTTTGGTGCAAAATCTACCCTTGTGCAAGCTTATGCTGTAGGAAATCTGGAAAAAGTAGATGTGCAATTACTCAGAAAAGATTGTTTGCCAAAAATTCCCTATTGTTGCTGCCACTGGTGGTAACAATGGTGGGGGGGCTATTCAGAGCTACTAGGCACCACTGATGTTTTAAGCATCATGTCCAGGTCTACAATAACACAGTGATTTAAGTGCCAGCACCTTGTCTATGCTCCAGCTCCCACTGGTGAAACTCAACAGATGGTAGCAGTGTGGGACATTTTTGGCAAAAAGGCCTAGCACAGACCATGCCTGTGTTTGTACAGTGACTAGCACAATGGGGTTCTGGGCACAACTATAATAAATAACAATAAGCGTCTTCACTAAAATCAGATACCAGTTCTTTTCCACAACTTCCATAAAAGTCTTTTTGTTAAAAGGGCTTTACAAGAGAAGGTGTGTTATCCTGGCCTCATGGAAGTCAGAGAACCTGTCATGTATGTAAGAGCTGAGATCTCCTAAGGGACAGAATGTGGTTTCCAATGTACATATATATAGTTCTTAGGCCAACATACAGGTCATTTGTAGTAATGGGCAAACTTCAGATGGCTCCATTGATTTCTAACAATCACCCAGATGTATATCCAAAATCATCTAACTTTTAGATTTTGCATTACTGGGCTGAAATATTGTGAAAATAGGCTCTCTCTGGTACTTTAGAATTTCTGCTTCTGGTTATAGTGGGGACTAGGAAGCATACAAGAATGGAAAAATAAGAAAAAAAAATCTTACTTTTTGCATGCCAAAAAAGATTCTGTCCAGAGTTTGGTTGAATTTTGAAGAATGAAGGCTCCTTATTTTACTCAAAATGATCCTCTTGTACTCAGTCATGTAATGCATGGTGCTTGTGGTTTGTTTATTCCTGACTAAACCATGCTATTTATTCTTTACGGAGAGCACTGCTCCCACTAGGTGGCATGCTGGTTCTTCCTCTTAGGCATCTTTTACCATCTATGATATTTTATCCTGCAATAGCCCCATTAGCATCTAATACCAAAAATTAAATGCTTTCCAAAATAAAGATTTATATATGCAAACGTGCCATTACACCTCTGCTATCCTTCTGTTGTATCATATGCTCAATCTCCTTCCTAACTTCCTATTTAATTTCACATGCTTATGGGAGGAAATGGTTGCAGTGGGTGTTGAACTGAGCCAGTAAAAGACAAATCTGAGCTGACGAGCAGCATTATGTCACAGGAGCAGCACTTAAGGCTTTCATGCGAACTGTCAGTTATGGCAGTGTTTCAATTGATCGCTAATGTTTCCTGCATTAGTAGGACTTGCCTGGCTCATTGAGAATGGTTAGGAGTATGATTTCTGATCTGAATTCAGCTCACTAAAGTCTAATCTGTCGAGGTGTTGATCTGGCAGCGTTTCCGATTATGGACAGTGTACAAAAGATATTCCATAATGAAAAGAGAAATCAGATACTGTAGGCATGTTAATCTTTCAGAAAATGACAATATTTAGTCTCTCATATGTGGTCAATTTTCATCTTAAAAATTAAACTGTCATGGTACCACAGTACATTTTTCATTTATTCTGATATATTTTAAAGAGCTATTTCCACGATGGATAACCAGACCAACAGCAACAAAATAATGGACCAAAAATGTAACTTGACAATGGAAGAGTTAATAACATATCTGCATTTTTATATATTATTCATGGCTGTGGCATGTGTGTCATGGAACATGACTTTGTGTCTAACACAATGAGCCACATCATCTGATGATGAGATGGCATCAATTAAACAAAAGTCATTTTTTGAGAATTCGGGGTATATGATCCAAATTTTAAAAAACTTCCCAAAAGTATTGTCTGTAGGAAGATAAGCCAGTTACTTACTTCATCGTTACAGGCAGATACCGAGTTGCTACTTTTTTGGGCAGGAGGGTAAGGAAATTAGGAGGCAAAGGAGGTTGAGGATTGCATACTGTTTGAGGGAAAAATGGTATTTGATATTGGAATGATACATAATTTTGTGATATGTAATAATTGTGTATTCTGTTATTGGGTAGTAACCAGCAGAGGTAGATAAACAATTAGAGTTGTATATTTAGGGACTTGATTAAGCTAGTAAAACCTGATCGGAACAAATAACTAACAATCATCCAGGAGATAAACTTGTTGATACTTCATAGAAGGACAGATATGAGTTTCAAGCGCTGAACCATAGTAGGCAGCCTAAATAGTCCAAACAGGTAAGGAACCAAAGCCATGGGCACCGTTGCCACAAGTTTGGGGGCAATAAAGAGGAAGAGCACTAGCTTGCATTAGTGCTAACCTGGATCCAGCTTCTGTTACTTTGTTCAAGTCACTTGGCCTCTCTCTGCCTCAGTTCCCCATCTGTAAGTGCTGAGGATAATAGCACTTCTCACCCTCAAAAGGGTGTTGTAAGGACACTAGACATTAAAAACTGGGAGGTGCTCAGATACTACAGTGACGGGGGCATATAAGTATCACAGATAGAAAGAAGAGAAAACACAGTGGGCCAGATTCTTATACCCTTCCTCATACTAAACAGCATGTTACTCTAGGAGTAGTCCCATTGACTTCAGTGGGAATGCTCATGGGGTGAGATACTATCCATCATGAATAATGGTATCAGAAACTGTCTCAGATGGGAAATGAATCCAGAGATGTGATGCCAAGAAGGAATTCAGACATGCTGTCACACAAAGAGTAAGAGGAGGATGGGCTAAGCTTAGGTGAGGAGAGTTCACTAAACTTGTAACGCCTTTTTCATCTTCACTATAACCACACAGATTCTATCTGTCTGGATTACTATTTGAGGAGTTCCAGGTCAGAGATGTTTTGCAGGCTGTTTCTTTTGTTTTAAGTTCCTGAAATCGTAGAACCAATGAAGCAATTAGCAAAACTCCCATTGACTTCAGTGGGGCCAGGATTTCATTCCAAGAATTTCTCTCTTGATTCTTAATTAATCTTGGCTTCAATATAATCATTTTGAGACTAACTTTGTTTGGATGAGGTACATTGAAGGGGAAACAACCTTCTGACCTTATAGGTGAAGCAACTGGGGAAAAAGAGATACCTAGCCTAAAGTAAGCAGCCAAAGTGACACTTAAGTAACAGTTGCCAACTTTCACGTGGTAAATAAGCACCCTGACTTTCACAATAAGCCAAAAATCAAGCTAATCCCATTTCAAAACAAGCCAATCCCTAAGAACCCTAACACACTATGTGACTAGATCCCCACCCCCCCGGCGTGCAGTCTGGGACTGTGGTGGACCCACTGCACCCCTGACTCTATCCCACCCCACCCACCCCTGCTTGCCAAGAGCCGACCAAAATAACCAAGCTACAAGCCAAAAACTAGCCAACAAGCAACTCATAAGCCAATTAAGTCAATTAAACAAACCCAATTTCTGTTTTTTTCCCCACGGGTTTGGCATGTCTGCTAAGTAAGTCCCAACCAGACATGGCTACAGTTAGTAAGGACATGGGGAAAGCTAACCACCCACAAGGAATGAGGACTAGGGACGGCTGGTAACAGGGCACATGAAACTTGTCTCTGTTCTAACTCCTGCTTTGTTCCTTTTTTAAAGGCAGTGAGAGAAAGGAAGGACAGGGACAGAGACATGCTTTTTGTTATAAAATTCTGTATCCACAGTTTATGAAACACAATCCTACCTCAGGGGCTACGAAGTTGGCTGTGTAGCAAGGTGTCATGAGTAGTCCATTCTCTGCTCTCAGCTGTTTGGCAAATCCGAAGTCACAGATCCTAATGGAATCTGGGTTTCCTGACTCATCCATGTAGAGAATGTTACTGGGCTTCAGATCTCGATGCACAACCTTAATGGGAAACAAATAAAAAATAAATAACATGGGCATGATTACACAGCGGGCAGGCTTGTTTACCATCATTATACATTTTTCCTGATGGTGGGGAGTGTGTGTATGGGGGCAAAACAGTTCCTGCCTTGGAAGAGTGGGCCTTTGAAGAATGTCACTTTTTTTTTTTTTTTAAATGAGTGAATTGATGGCCTGGATACAGAATTGCACTTCTGTTAAAATCAGAAATAATAATACAAATTGCATCCTCTGATGATATACAAGAGGGAGGCAGATGTTCCAGTGGAAAGGCATCTCTTTTGTGGGTTAGCAGAAGGGATTACTATACAAATAAAATACATCCCTCTAAAAGTATAGAAAGGTCTTTGAATCTGAATGTTTTAATCCTTCAATTAAAAAAGAGAGAAGACTGCCAAAGGCGGAAAGTGTGGACTCATTTGAGTGTGAGGCTCTTTCTCTGGCTGCTCTTAACATGAGTGGCTCTCAACTGAAGGGAGACATTTTCATTTCCCTTCCTAAAAATCCTTTGTGCAGTGTGTATTTCACTAGAAGTGGCTAAATTTCAGTGGTGGGCAAATAAATGATATAAACTATATCAGCCATGCAAAACTCATGAAAATGTATCAGCCTTGGTACAAAATGAACTCATCCTGCTCATGATGATGATAATGGAAAAGGTACTTTACAGGCCCATCCAAAATGTTGCATGCCCCAGACAAATGGGAAAGGAGAGTACTTCAAATTGCTATCTGTAGGGAGCTCGAATTTCAAAAGTTGTGCTATTAATAGGCTGTCAAAACCCTGCCCTATCAGATGTTCACATCAGCATATAAGCTTAAAAAAGGGGAATTTGTTTATACACCTATATGCTGATGTGAATGTCTGAGGGCTAGGATTTTGATATTTTATTGAAGAGCTCATATTTGCCCATATGGTGCTTGGATACTATAATAATGATTGTGATATGAATAAATAATGCCCACATAGATTTGAAAATTAGAATCTTTGGCATTGCATAAATATATTTGGCCTGGAGAATGGCACGAGTGGCTTTAATCCCATTTCACAAACTGGACACTCATTTTTAAATGTAATGACTAAATATTAAAACAACCCTTTCCAAATTTCTTTGCACCTTTGAATGTTCATTTTGGGCAACCCCCCTACTTAATATTTATTTCCTGAGAAAAGTAGCTTTGATGTTGCTGCTAAGAGTCAGCTTTTACTAAGGTTGACATGGAGAACAGAGGTGATCATACTTACCCCTTGGGAATGCAGATAGTCCACCGTCTTGGTAATGGTGCAAAGGACAGCACTAGCCTCTCGTTCTGAGAAACACTTCTGTCGAAGGATTCGGTCTAACAGCTCTCCTCCTCGCATTAGCTCCATCACCAGATACACATACTTCCCATCATCATACACCTAGAAGAGCAGAGGAAGCAATCATACATCACCGTTCCATTAGTCTAGCAAGTAGTGATCACTCTGCAATATCTTGCCATGTTATTGCAAGATGCTGCAAGAAGAAAACAGAGCTAATACAGGAGAAGTGAATTTTATACTCCTTGTATTTAACAACATAAAAGTGATCTTTTTCCAAAAGGGTTAATCATTACAGTAACTCCTCACTTAACATCGTCCCGGTTAACGTTATTACATCGCTGATCTAGTAGAGAATATACTCATTTAAAGTTGCGCAGTGTTCACTTATAACATTGTTTGGCCTCCGCCTGCTAGTACAGTACTTTGTCCACTACTTGCGGGATTCTCTGGAAGAGCAGCCGGTCAGAGCTAGCAGGTGGGGGCTTGGAACCAGGGTGGGCCAGCAGCCCCCCTAACAGATCCCCTCCACCCGCCCCAGCGCCTCCCCCTGAAGATGAGCACCTCCCCACGCCTCCTGCCCACAACAATCATCTGTTTTGCGATGTTCAGGAGGCTCTGCGGGGGGAGATGGGAGGAGCGAGGACATGGCACGCAGCCTCCCCACTCGTTCCCCCAATGCCTCCTCCTCCCTCTCCGGGCTTCCCACCCGCCATGATCAGCTGTTTTGCAGTGCACAGGAGGTTCTAGGGGGGAGGAGCGAGGACGTGGCGCACTCGGGGGGGGGGTAGAGCAGGGTGGGAAGAGGCGGGGCGGGGGTGAAGCGGAGACGGGCGAAAAGGGTGGAGTGGGGGCGGGCCTGGGGCAGAGCTGAGGGTTGAGCACCCTCTGGCACATTGTAAAGAACAGCAAGAGGAGCAGCTGGACGATCCATCCTCTTTTACCCTCTGACTCCACCACCTCAACCAAGCTTCATAATCATCATTGCAGAGTACAGTATTACATTGTTTAAATTGTTTAAAACTTATACTGTACATGTATATAATGTCTTTTGTCTGGGAAAAAAATTTCCCTGGAACCTAAGGCCCCCCCCCATTTACATTAATTCTTATGGGGAAATTGGATTCGCTTGACATCATTTTGTTTAAAGTCACATTTTTCAAGAACATAACTACAACATTAAGCGAGGAGTTACTGTACTTCTCATCTCTGAAGCAACTATTCATCGAACCTTGAGCTGCACAGAAACCCAGTTTTCATAATTTGCTATCAAGTCTGCAAAATATTAACAAACCAAGCTGCAGAAGCAGCACCTCCAAATGCAGCCTGAAATCTTTTCTGGCATTAGCCCAAACTCGCTCACAATTATTTGCTCTCTTCCAGTTCTACAGGGTAGCACTTGCCATTTTAAATATCAATATTTCCCTTTGTCTCATAAGCAGCCAAACAAACTGCATTAGGATTAGTCAGTACTTGCTTTCCGTGATAGCATATAGCATGTGCTTTGCTATTCTGGTGAATAAGTTGTTTGCATCAGCCTTTTGTCCAAACTGGAATATAGCGATTTTATTTTCATACCCCTTTGCTACACTGGACATTTATATGGACAACGAGAATATCCAGTGTTATAATAATCAATGCTAAACGTTTTTGGAGGAGATACAAAGCTTCATGCTGCCAGTTTTAAGGCAATCTCTAACTATTAGGGATTAGGATGAGACCTTAATGGGAACCACATATGCCGAGGGGTTTCTTGAACTTTCCTCTAAAACATCTGGTGCTGGCCACTGTTGGAGACAGGATACTGGACCAGATGAAGATAAATATGATCCAGTATGGAAATTCCTATGTTCCTGTGTGTACAGACTATGGATAAGGTCTCTGTGTTTCTGTCTATTGAAACAAACACATACACACCACACATCACTACACCCTAAGTGCTGGCAATGGTAAATTATTGTCCAAATGAATTGACTAGGAATTATAATGTATTAAATACAGATATGTCTGTAGGCCTGGCTTGATATATGTAACTTGCCTCATTTTTTAGTGGACATCATTGGGAAGGTGAATGGAAGGTTAAATTGTAAATAGGGGCTTAACAAGCAGTATGCTGGAGTCAGAATGTCTGTGCTGGCAAAGATAAGCGGGAGCACCTGGATGCTAGGGACAATGGGCAAGATAAACCTGGAATGTAAAGATCAGTTTCTACATGGACAGAGCATACTGTACAGGGATTGGTTCCTGAAAACTAACCAAGCCTACCACGAAGCAAATGATGCAATGTATGGTTAAGAATGCATGTGTTATTAAAAATGTATACAAGGTAAAGTTTTGCGGTGTAACTTTGGATGTGTGGTACACCCTACATGCACACCCCTACGCTTGAGTCTGATCAACTCAGCATAGCTTTGATGTATGCCAAATAAAGGAACCTGAATGATGAGACTGGAGTCGAACTGAGTTCTTGGGGAACGAGTGGAAGAGGTATCAGGAAAACCCCAACAACATCTACACACATTCTCCTAACATTCAGTTGGATACCCATCTGCAAAGTGCCAGCATTCTAGAAGCATTAACATTCTGTGCTTGGACAGAATTCTACGTATCTATTTAGGTTCTTATACCATGCTCATCACTGTAATCTCTGAGTGCCTAGAATCTCACGCTAGATCATTCCCAATTCCTGTAACTCTTGGATAGATATGCACTAGGCTGTGTCTGTGTCCCTTAACGTTCCCCAATTCTTGGAATGGGGGAAGAAGTGGGGAGCCAGAAAATGTCATATTTGATTTTTTGAAGTTTTGGAAATCCACATGATTACTTTTCCACAGCTTTCCATCTTCCACTGGAATCAAGGGCTCTGAGCTTTGTAAATACAATACTCCAGGAGCTCCAACACAAATGAGCTCACAGAGGTGTGTTTTCTTTAAGGGAGTGAACAAATCAGTAGTCTCCCACCCAAGAGCACACTACAACCCAGAAGCAGGCTTCCTCTTTTTCCTTTACTGCCATTTATGAGACAGCTAGCACCGTTAGGCCTCATCTATATTAGGGGATTTTAGCAAGAACATTTTCCAATAGGGCTGCCAGCAGGTGGATTCCTAGTGTTGACAAGACTCCGGCAGCTTACAACATTTCTACACCATGTTGACTAAAGCTGTTCAGAGAAAGAGGATAAAAACACCAGAAGTCATTTTGGCTCTAGGGCTTTGGCGGGTGCTCCCTTTGGTGTAGCTGAGGTGAGGCGTTAGCACTGGTGAGAAGTCTTTGCTAAAGTTCTGTAGCATAGACAAGGCCTTAGAGATGTTGTCTTTCATATTAAATGTTAAAATAAGGTCTCTTCATCTTGTCTTTTCTGGTTGCTCACATGTAAGTTAAAGGTTTCCTGGCACTCAATAAAAAACAGGGGAAGCCCTACTGGCCTAGTTAACAACCCTCCTCTCAATAAAACAAGTACCTGAGGCTGTATGTCAACAGTTACTGACCAGGAAATAGCCATTCCAGTGATCTACAGAACCCTCATTATTAGTGTTCGACAATCTACTTCAAAAAGAAGATTGAAAGATTTTGGTTCTGAAAAGTCTTTTAAAATCAAATTAATTTCTATTCTATCCAGCCTTACGGGTCATTTCAAATATGCTTTTCGCTAGAGTTGACCAAATAGTATTTGTTGAATGCATGGTCTGATAATCTTGCCATTTTTGTGTCCAATAATTTTTCAACGAACATTTTTCCTTGGATTCAGATGGCTCTCATTTTAAAATTAAAATGACTGAACATTAAAACAGGAGAGTTTCTCAGTTGCAGAGCAGGTAAGCTTGATATTAAAAGGAGAATTGTTTAAAGCTGAAGTCCTCATAGACTACTCACATCTTTCAGAGTAATGATGTTTGGATGCTGCCCATATCTCAAGAGAATCTCAATTTCTTCAGAGGGGTCTCGTTTGCTCTTATCAATTATCTGGAATAAAGGAAGCACAGACCAGTAAGATACAGGCTGACAGCACCCATCACCAAGCACAACAATGTCTAATTTAAATGTATTAACATTTAATATTCTTCTGGTAATCATTGTTCTAGGACAGGACAGCCAAAGTGCTGTGATACCAAGGACCACAATGGCAATCTGCCAGAAAACAGATGGCACAACACCCAGCCTCCCTTTTTATGCTGTAACTTTGTGACCACAATTGTGAGTACAAGGGGTATAATTTGAACATTAGCTACTTGAATAATGTCATAAAAAAATAAATGCAGGCAGCCATAACACTGGCTTGTATTTGCATCCTCCTCGGTAGATAAATAGGAATTGCTTCTCAGATATATTTTTTCATTGCTGATTAACCTATGAAAGACATTCACAGGCATAAAGGAGGTATAGCAGACTTGAGCTGCAGCCTGTTGTATTCATTATTCTCTGTGGGCCACACTAGGCCAAACTGTGGTCACCTCCATTCTAGGAAGAAAACATCAACTGCTTGGTACATCATCATTTTCTGTATTCAGCACATATACACATCTTTTGCACTGTACAGGGGCATAAACAGTTTGACTAAATTCTAGTCTGTAGACAGCAGGTCTAAGGAAAACATTACAACTGCTGCTTAAAAGCCACCCCTGCAAATAGAGCCTGCTGCTAGGATGTCATTTATTTCTCATCGACATTTCTACCTGCTACAATTGGGATGTCAGTCAAAAAGGCTTCGTCACTTGCCCAGCTGAGTGCATTGCTCTCAGTGCTGAATGTTAAATGGTTCTTCATTTCTTATATGTAAATGATAAACAAAAGTAATTACAAAACAACTAGAGGAAATTAGCCTTACCATGGAGTCTCAGCTGTAACTCCAGAACTAAAGGTGTAAGATCCACTCCACTATATAAGCCCAATTTCCAAAAAATTTCTGGCCAGGAAAAATTCCAGCCAAAAGATGAGACTTCCCCCCACACCGGGAAGTTCTGGGGGCACTATCAGATACACTTTTGGATAATAAGGCTCTGAAAAAATAATTGTGACATTTTCACAAACTTGTAACTCAATAACTTTTGGCTCTTAAGGCTTCAGACACGTGTAGTTCTCTATGAGAGCTAGTACAATGGTATAGATTTAACACAATTTCATCCACAACTAAAAACTCCTTAAAAGCACTGACTTTCTTAACATTGATACTTATTAGTGCACATCAACTGTGGCACACATTTGCATTTATTGTGGAGATCAGTGGTTGAGGGTACACATTTGAGGATAGGTCAGTGATCTGATTACATGTCAACAGTTGGTTCACACATTTTAAGTATATATCAACTGTCAGAGTGTGGGCCAGCAGGTGTGCACACGTGAATAAATGCTGAGAAAAAGAAATTCCAAAAACAGGTAGAAGGAAAAAAAAATCCCACTAGCAAATTCTCCTTAGAATAGTGTTATTCACTAGCTTAGGGGAACCTAGCCAATGCTCAGAAAGACAGTGGATATTCTCATTGAATGAATTTACACATAGGATCCCCGAGTCTTAAAATGTCCCAATCAATCAGTAACTGTTTCATATAAAAAAGTATCCAAGGGCAGGTCCTCAGCTAGTGTAAGTCAATCTAGCTCCTTTGCAGTCAGTGGAGCTACACTAATTTACACCAGCTAAGGATCTGGTCTCCTGGTATGTAGTCAGTAGAATGAGAGATGCCTTAACACGTTCTCATCACACACATTTCTATGGAAGAAAACTTCTAGTAGTGCATGTGTTATAAAGCATCTAGGATTAAATCAGAAATAAAAAAAAATATATAGTGTCTATTTAAATTCTATTTCTCTTATTTCAAGGGAAGAGAGAACACAAATACACTTTAAAAATCTCAGTCATTGATCAAATACTCAGACAACTAACACTCAGCTATGAGCTACTCTGCGAATCATTTAATAATTAATAAGTATTATTCATGATGCTTTTAATCTGCTCTACACACACAATTAATCCTCATAACAACCGTGGGCGATAAATACTACCTCACAAACAGAGACAGATGGGTTAATTTGTCCAAGGCCACAAAACACACCGTCAGAGCTGGGAACAGAACTCCTCTATTCCTGACTCCCAGGACCATGGGCAGTCCACTAGGATATGCTAGAACAGATTGTCACTGTGATGATCCCTCTTTTCAACACTGTCACAGTGGTTTGCAGATGAACTGTGACTTATAAATAACAAGGGAGACAGCTGCATCACCGGTGACAGAAATCTTTCTCCAATTCAGACTGACTGCAGCGTATGGAATTTTTATATTCTTATGCTGCAGTGGTCACAGGGGCAAAGTTGTCATTTTGCCTGCCTAAATTCCTCCTGCACTTTCTTTTTCGCTTCCACTACAAAATTGTTGTGATGTACTGCTAAACAGCAGCCAGGTTCCAGCCCAGAGGTGGAGGCATTTCAGCAAAGGATAAAGTGATTCACAATATGGCTGGAAGAAAAGTTGAATACTCACAATTGGGGTCAGATTTTCAAAAAAACTCTGAGTTTTGGGTGCTGAGTTCTTTTGAAAATCTAGCCATAAGTGTCATCACTGTTGCCCTCTTGAAATACCAAAATGAGGCATTGCTCACAGTAGATTATGCAGATATTCCAAATACAATCAAGCAAGATTCTGATGAGCTACCCAGGTTTAGTGGTGGATAGATGCCCTAGAGAGCATGGCTCTCCCTTGGTGAGGCTCAGATGCCATTTGAAGTAGATCGTGCATATCTTTCTAATATGATTGACATTCTCCTTTCTTGCATGCTTTGATCAGCCGTGAAAGAGTTCAGCTAGAAACTGGCTTCCGTCATCACATTGGGGTCAATGCTTTTTCCTCTTACTCACGCTTCAGAGTTTAAGCCAATCAATAATTATTAGAGATTATGATGAGAACTAATGTCTCCCCTCTGCCTATGTAGAGAGTCTAACACCTCTCTGAATCATCCTGTGCTGGCCACTGTTGGAGCCAGTATACTGGAGCAGACCGACCTCAGTTCTGACTCTGAGCCAGTGTGCAATTCCTGTGTTTCTATCTTCCATGTTAACACCCCATTTATTTGAGAGGGGGAACCTCTCACTTTGCAAAGCTATTGTTTCGGGCTATGTGCTCCAAACAAGGAGCCCTGCATTGGCTACACTGGTTCCATAAGGGCTATGGATTTATTTCCTAAAAAAAGAAAGCTTAAATTCTGGGAAGATGAAAAGCACTAAGTATTACTACTATTATTATGTAGTTAAGTAGTTTGATTTCCAGTAGATTTCCAGACTGTTGGGCTCTGAATAAATTTGTTGAAGCTTCAGATAGGCAGCCAAACTTCTGAATGATGATCGGCACCCAAGTCAATCTGCAAACCTTCTGAGGGCTTGTCTGTATGAGGGGGTTTAGTCTGCAGCATGCATTATACAAGCTGCACTAATAGTGTGCACATAGGATAGCGTGCCCTCTTTCAGTGCCCATCATTGTGTACACACAGTCGCAGCTTGCAGCATATTAAGGGCATGCCATTCTTGAAGGGTATCCCATGGTCCTTTCTTCGCTGCTGAGCAGTATGCATTCTGGGATTTTTCTCCCTGCATGTTGTGGCATGCAAAGAGGAAGCCAGACAAATTCCAGTTAGAGGATACCAAGCAGATGATAGTGGAGGATTGATTCCTGGAGCAGCTTCACAGCATTCAGTGCCACTTCTGGGCTCCGGAAACCAGTGCTGATTGGTGGGAAAGGATTGTTCTGCAGACCTGGGATGACCTACAGTGGTGAGAAAAGTTCAGGATGGGCAAGGCAACCTTTTTGGAGATATGTGCTGAACTAGCCCTGGAGTTGCCGCGGCAGCATGCCAACAGGTAGAGCCCCATACTCATGGACAAGTGAGTCACCATTGCCATCTGGAAGTTATACCAATTACACTGAGGTGGCTAACACTGCAAATCCCGCTGCTCTAACAGCAGCATATACTGGTCCAGAGCATTTGGGTTTGTGTTGTGTTTGCATGTCTCTATCTTTGGGACGCTGCAGTTGACGCTGTCCCCAAGAATTTCCATGCTGTCCTTTGCCACCAGGGCCGGTGCTACCATTAAGGCAAACTAGGAGGTTGCCTAGGGCGCCAAGATTTGGAGGCGCCAAAAAGCGGTGCCCCCAATTTTTTTTACAGCGTTCCTACGCCCCCTCCCCGAGCGCGCGGTCACCGCTCCACTTCTCCCGCCTCCCAGGCTTGCAGCGCCAATCACCTGTTTGGTGCCGCAAGCCTGGGAGGGGAGGAGCATTAGAGCGGGGGCAGCATGCTCGGGGAGGAGGCGGAGCAGAGGTGAGCTGGGGTGGGGAGCTGCTGCATGGCTCCCCGGGAGGGGGGAGCTGCCGCGGGGGGGGGGCGCCTCAGGGCGGAGGGGGGGCGGGGAGCTGCTGCAGGGCTGCGGGGGGCGCAAGGTTAAAGTTTCGCCTAGGGCGCGAAACTTCCTTGCACCAGCCCTGTTTGCCACTCCCACATTTTCTCTGGAGAGCTCCCGGTCTGTTTCCTCCTCTGCATTCAAACACTGCCTTCACGTCTCTGCTCTTTTGGGGACCCTGTAAAGATCTCTGTGAACATTTCATCATAGGTTTTCAGTTTTCTTCCCCTCAGGTTGTCCAGCTGCTCAACTGTCAATAGAAGGTCCTCTTGAGCAGTTTACTCTTTATCCAGCACTGGTTGGCATTCTGGTTGTGACCCCTCATGCTAAGCAGATGTCCATGAACAGAGCTTTATTCTGGTAGCTGTCCACAATTGCTTCCTGCACTGATGCTTCTCCCCAGATGGTGATGAAATCCAAAGTCCCAGTGCAACTGCTCGAGGCAGATTACAGGGCTTCTGGAGTAGTACTGCAGCTATAGTGACACTTGATTTCAGGAGCAAATGGGGGCATGCAGGTAAACAGACCAGTCAGTAACAGTCCTGCAAAGCAGTTTGGGACCGCCATTGGAGGACTGCCA